CAAATACTTCCCTTTCTTGATTAATCAGATCCAACAAGCCACTCATCAAATGGAGACAGTTTTGGATTCACGACAACTGCGAACTTGTGCAGTGTGTTTTGATTTGACTGTCGGGTTAATGCGGGTAAGTGAAACACCCCTGTTCTCCTACGCCTTCTTACATATTCCAAGGTTTTTTACTTCTTTTTTTTTTTTTTTTTCATTCTTGTAGGAACAGAAATGAAATGAGCTCCTGATTATTCCAAAAAGTCAGTGTTCAAGTAATTATTTACCATATTCTTAAGTCAAGACGCTGCGATTTCTTTCTGTAGGTGTTGGAGATGGTTGCAACAGTTGCTCCGGAAGTCTTTACAGACTGGAAACGGCAGTCCGCTGAGCTGCACATTGCTCGGCTTTTTCAGGTATCACAGAGTCAAAGACTATAAAAATAACTGACCTTGTGGGGTTTAATCCTCTGCAGTCTGTGGTACATAAAATCAAAGCCTCTTCACAACCAAAGCTGATTGTGCGAACTCGATAGTGTGTATTTCTGCCCATCCAAAATATTTCATGGGCAATCTACGTCTTTGTTAAGTTCTATGATAATTTTAGACTAATTTGTGCTTCATTCTAAAAACTAATCAGTCCATAGGATACTGAACGAACATGTAACTCATTAGCTATTGGTATCCATGAACAGAAAACAAAAAAAATGACCCTCTAATAAAGGCGTGTTCTTATGAAGAGCCCCCTTGCTACTTTTTATCCAAAGAAAGTCCTTCTTCGCTCATGTTCCTTTTCCCTCGATGTTGTTGAAAACTGTCATTAATAATTGTTTGCTTTTATGTTTCCAGCTGCTAACTCAGGTTCTGAATCGAGTGACGGCCGGTTCAAACCTCTTCGAGAATGTGACAAGACTTCATTTACCTGGTAACGTTATCAGCTGTTTTTGTTTTGAATTTAAGTTGCAATTCACTACTTTCCCATTCACTAGAACTGAATGGACGGAGAGCTAACTTATTCAATTCATTCGTTCAATCAATCATTCATTCATTTCTATTTCCTCAGGACTAGAAACTGTCGACCGGTTTCCCATTCTCGGTGCTGTGACAGGAATCTTGCTGACTCTGTTGTTGGATGGCACAATTGAAAGGTGTGAATAGTTTTGACGAAGAATCAACGAGCCAAACGCCTGGTTCTCAAAATTCAATGCTTCAGATCTGTTCTCGTTGTTATTGCTTTCGTTCTTTTATTTTCGGGGGGAGGGGGTCGCGACACTTCTCGAGACTTTATGTCACAGATATCATTGCAACTAGTTTAACTTGTGTGTCACTCTGTACACTTGTTACACGTTTTGTTATTATATTGGTTTTTGAAATGTTCATACTGAATGTGCGCGTCTTTCTTTTTTTCAGTAAAGAGAGAGCGACCTCCTCCCTGTTGGCAGAACCCGGTTACAATCTGGACACCGTCTGCTTTTTGGTTGGAGGCAAATCAGTCGCTGTTGAAGCTACAAAACCAAAATTCTCCTTCAGAACAAGTACTGATGACAGCTATATATAATTTTCAACACTAATCTTTTTAACTTAAAAATATGAAAAGCTTGGTGATGGGAATGGAAAAATTAATCCGCTCATCCGCTAGTGGGTGTTTTTTTAACCATTTAGCACCAAATTTCTTAACTAGCTCACCAAGAAATGTGCACTACATGGACTGGAGAATTGCTATGTAGAGGGGTTCGAGGTTAGCCAGAATTCACTAATGTCGGAATCGCAGTCGGATTCGTTGTCAGAAGCGCAGGCGTAAATCGAGATTTTTATTTGGAGGCAGGTTAGCAATTTATTGGAGTCGTAGGCCATCGATTTGCCAGGAAACTCTTTTGTTTTCTTTGTGTAGTGATAAACAAAGATGTTACACCCGAGGAGGTTCAACGAGTCGATGATCTGGTATCACATCTTGAGAGTCAGGGCACAGAGTATGGGCTCCAAACACAGGTATTTTAGGCTTCTCGTGAAATCATAACAATCAAAGACCAACAACCAGAGAGACTTTCGAACAATGTCTCGCCTGATGGCGACGTGAATGTTGTGTGCAATAGTCGATTATTTTCGCTGAGCCTGAGGAGAATGGTTGTTCGTTCATTCATAAATTCTGTTGTGATTATTAAAGCAATTGTATTTTCCTTTTACTTTTCATCAAAAAAATTAATTCTTGCTCAAATGTTTATTTATTACATGAATAAAAAAAAATCGCTCGCTGGACATTTTGAAGTGTGTCACTCAATTTAATATTATATATGATGTCATCTTCGACCAATCAGAGTGCGTGCTTCTCTACGTTACCTAATAATTCATTGTGGTTCGAAATTGAAGTGGTGGCCAAGACAGATGTAACATTTCTGTTAAAGTTAAAAAATTAGTGCGTTTTATTGTGCATATTGCCTGTTAGTCGAACCATTTTAAAATGTGTATTGGTAAGTATTTGCCAGCTCACATTTGGTAAATATAAACCATATTCGTATTAAAACTTGGCATCTTAGCACAATTTTGTCCCCTCTCTCCAGGAGTCCGTAGACGTTGACGACCTATGTCCTATTTGCTGTGCGGTCAAAGTTTCCGTCAGGTTCATCCCGTGTCTGCACGTGTCATGCAGGTGGGTATCATGTGGAAAGACAGGCATGTTATTTTGAAAAAGCCCTGAAACTTAAGAATTCTTTTCGATGAAAATGGAGTTTACTTTCTGTTTGCAGATCCTGTATCTCTCGCCATCTTATGAACAACAAGGAATGCTTCTTTTGCAAGCACATCGTTAACGAATTGGAGGATATCACCAGCGAGGAGGCTGTATAACAGTAGTGAAATGTAAAAATTGTAGAAAGAACGTTGCTGATGTTTAGTACTGAAATAAAGCTAGTTTTTGGTTTTGATATATGGATATATTATAAGGCTCGAAATTATGGCCAGTCAACAGAAAATGTCCCGTTAAAGAAACGATTTTTCCGGTCAACTCCTAGGATGGCGGAACATTTTTTTCGATTGTTTACAAATTTAAAGAAGAATCCAATAGGTAAACAAACCCTTCAAGCGAAAGTCCCCCAGTCCACGAGGGTTTTGCAAAAGTGACATAAAAAGTGTATCACTATACCAAGATTGCCAGTTCCACTTGTGTCTAGTCTCCTTCGCAGCATTTGTTTGGTCTCGTCACACAATGTTCTCTCATGTGTTGTGTGACGAAACCAAACAACGGTTGTGAAAGAAACCTATGTAGTCACGTATGTCATAAAATCCACGATTGACTCAGTAACCTTCTATTATAAAAACAAAACAAAACAAAACAAACCTTTTTCGCCTAAAAAAATCACAATAGTCCAAGAAATAAAATTTGACTCTCAAACAATCGACCTTTCGTTCACTTTGTCACTTTTCACGAGTAATACTTCATTTATTATTTACACAAGGTATTGCAAAATTCTTCCCACATTGAACCAAGTACCCAGTATGTCTAGCATCATTTTTATGCGAATAAATTACGGAAGACTAGCCCGGTGCTGTGTAATAGCGAAAATAGAACACAAATCGATAAAATCGGACACTAGCCGGTCTTAATTAAGATCGAGACACTAATGTGTGTCTATATTCAGATTTTAGATACTAGTGTCTAAATTAATCGAAATTAATAGTCTTAATTTGGATTTAAGACACAAGGATCCGAACTAAAACACTGGTGTCCAAAATCGGACACTCAAGTCTAAATTCGACCAAAGTCGGCTACTAATATCCAAATCCAAAATCGGCCACTAGGGTCCAAAAAACCAAAAACGGCCGCTTCTGTCCAAAATCCAAAATCGGCCACTAGCGTCCAAAAGTCGGCCACTGGTGTCCAAAATCCAAAATCCAATTAATATTTATTTTACCTATTTTTTATCATCATTATTTTATTTATGTTTTTTGCGCCCCATCCACCCTGCAAAGACCAATACTACGCCCATTACTCCCGGTCAATAAAAAATAAGGTCTGGAAAGTTGGAATAACCTAAGAATGCGTTTAATTAACTGACTCTTCACTAACAGTTCACTGACTGGATGTCTTTTTTCGAAAGTTCTAAAACTAGATCTACACTCTCTTACCGGGTCACCAATAAGATTCACATTTTCAGCCCTTTTCCAGGAGCTCAGTTTTTAAAACCAGGCGCGATAGAAGACGGAACGATGGTAGCGCAGAAAAAAAAAACCGGGGGGGGGGGGGGGGCTTGGGTCGGTAGGCAGCTCGACTCAGATCTCCCTCGTTCACGCTCCGCCTTTACTATCGTACCGTTTACTATTTCGCCCCATTTTAACAACTACACGCCTGGAACAAGTTAATATTTAAAAAACCTCAATACCAACATATAGTTTAAAGAATTTTTTCATAGCTGCTGATTTCCTATTTACATAATGATTTGCGGTTCTGGTGAGGAGTCTGAGATAGATTTGTGGGGTAGAATTCGTCCGCCATTGATATACAATTCGTCTTTAACTATAACGTCTTCTCCAAGTACTGATACTCCTTCCATACGAACCTACAACAAGACATATGAGGGTATCATTACATGCAAACCTTGGGTTGGAAAAAAAAACTGGGAATATAACTTGGATCATTTTATCTTTCCTCGAAAGCGCTTTCTGCAGAGTCGCGTGAGCAGTAACCTTTGAAGAGTGACTGACATCTAAATTTCTTCTTACGATACCATCCCCAAATCACACATTAAGGTCACGAGAATGAAGGAAACGATCACCAATTGAAAAAGCTATTGATTCTTAAATAAATTCTCCTTGTCAGCGCCTTAGGAAATGTAAAGAGAACAGTATGGAGAATATGCATACTGATTTTAGGGTAAAAAGGGTTAAGCAAAATCTATAACCCTTTCAAGGCACTTTTTGGCTTAGGGTAGTCGTAAGAGAGAACCAAACAAAACCATAACGACCAATCAAAACAGAAGAAGAATGTTCCAAGGAGCCCATGAGATGTAAGATTGAAAACAAGCAAGTTCTCTGCAGCGTGGAAAACGCGGGTGTAACTGAGTCGCGCTTGTTTTTGTTTGTTTGCTTGTTTGTTTGTTTGTTTCGCTCCTGATCGGTTTGCAATGGACGAATCGTAGGGCAATGTAAATCAACGCCAATGTAATTCCGGATTATTTACGCCGTTCAGTCAAAAATTTCTATAGTTTTTACCTCCCTAACGCCAGTTTTTTTTTCAAAGTTCATTTTCTGTTAGCAAATGTGTCAACATATCATTTAAAACCTACCCATTGTCCTACAACTGATTTCCAGCCGATAATGGCCGAGTGAATCCATGAATGTGATCTAATGACAGCTTCTTGGAGAATCGTGCAACGTGAAAGACACGCCCCTGACATGAAGTTAAACGAGATATGAAGTTAGGTTTGGAGTCAGTAAAGCTTTATGTGAAACAAGTACAGTGTTTATAGCGGTTGGATTTCGTTTTCTTTCTGATCGATTGAAAAGTAGTAAAAGTTAGGTACATGTAGAAATTTGACCGTGAAAAGTAAAACTGTACTAAAGCATTCTAGGATTATTTTCCATACTCACTGCCAGAAGGAAACATAGTCTAGTGGAAGGCGCGTAAGATTCGTAATCCTGAGTTCTCAGATCCCTTGAAAAATTAAGTCATTCGTGTCGTTTCAATTTTGATAAGTTTTTATCGTCTCTGTCGTTATTTTTGTTATCGTTATACCGTAAAATTCCAGCACATCTTGAAGTTATTCTCATGAATCTGGCTTAAAAGTCAAACTACCCAAATCTAAAAGAGAGTCACTGGCCCCTGCAGCCGTGCAATCTTATCACGCAGTCATACGGTGTCACGCAATACTTTTCAGCATAACTCCTCTAGCCGTGAATGTCGCACGGTGCGACTGCTTGTGTGCAAAAATTTGCCAATTACTGTATGAAAAATTTCCTACCATCCTGAATGACAGCCCCTGGTCCAATGACTACATTTGGTCCTATTCGGCAGCCGTCTCCTATTTTAGCAGTGGGATCCTGAACGAAACAGAGAAATAAAAAAACAAGACTCTTAAACGCGTTACCTCCAAGATGTGATTAACATGAAACTTCTCCCTACAATATTCATACATTCTCCAATAAACAGGCGATGAGAGAACTCAAACGTATCAGGTAGAATTTTTTCCTGATTTAACGCCAACTCTCAAAACTAATTTACAAGGAAATGTGGAGCAGCTAGAGGGGAGAATTAACAATCAGATCTTGGAAGTTAAAGGGTTAATATGGAGAATAACGGCTTCAAAAGCAATCAGAAGAGGATGGAAACATCACAAGATAACTCACCACTAAGACATTGCCAATAATTCCTGGTCCTTCATGCAGACGGTCTGGGTGTTTTTGTCGCAAGAAGTGGAGGAACAATCCCATTCCAATCAGGAAATCCTTAGGTTGACCTACATCCATCCAAAAACCTGTCACGACGAAAATGTTATTCAGAATTTAAGACAGAAGGAGGGGGGTTAGACGAAGGAGGAGGGGGGGAGAGGACGACAGGGGGAGGGGGGAGAAG